AAATACAATAACTTTTCCACCAAATGGCTGGTTTTGCAAGTCAGGATCTACTGCTTTCATTAAATCTCTGAGAGTTCAGTCAATAGTAAAAAAGCTGCAATACCTGAGGTAGCTACTGCAAGTGCTATATGTCTAGTGGACCTGATCTTGTCTAATATAGCACTATATAGAAATGTCTTACCTGAACCTCCAGGGCCATCCACAAAAATACAGCAGTTGTTGATTTTCAACAGCCATAATTACTGCATCAAAAATAGATAGTTGTTCTGGGTTTAAACATGAATTACCTGATGGCCAAGTCATAATGCAGAAGATTTTGAAAACTGTTTTGTATCAAGGTTCATCTGGCTATTACTATATCCTTATCACTACTGTCTAAATAATCTTTGAGATTGTTGTTATAGACATCATCAGCCTTGGCTGCAACCTTCGTCCAGAACTCAATCCGAGTTTTATCATTCTTGACATGGTAATCCCACCACATTGCAGCAGTCAATAATTTGGTTCTTTTTTTGGTTTTGAGTTCTACCACGTATTCATCATTGCTGCCACCAGGAATGAAGCAATCTGGTCAACGCACTGTTCTACCTGAAATGAATCTCTCTACGTATTTTATCAAAATATGCAATAACAGGATCAGTTGCTGGTGGATAGCCTGTACTCTGTGCTGTGCGGAAACACACATAAATTACATAGTAATAGATATCTTGTGCTGTGTGTTGAATTAGACGAGACTTGCCAATCATGGAGGGACCAATGAGAGCAATGTAAGGGGAGTACATAACTTTACGGTCCCACAATTTTTCAAATACTCAACCAACCGTGGTGCTGATTTAAGATAGTTAACGTCAAAAGCCTCAGCAACTGCCTGCCGGAGAACTTGCTGATCAGGCGGAGGCTTGGATGCCATTGTTAGTGTTTGAGTTTTTAACAGCAATCCCATTTTCGTAGCGACAGTTCGCACGACGTTTTGCTGCGTGAAGTATGTTCCTATATTCTCAACTATGCCGTTACGTACAGCGTCACCGCTCTTGTCGTACTCGTCCCGAAATAGTGTTGCATTCGCAGTGCCAGCGCTCGAAGTACTCGTCGCGAGAGCGTTTCCTGCCATCGTCCAACTCATCAATGTCTTTTCCCTTGTTCTTGTGGTTTTTCAAATAGAGGATAGCATTTGTTAGCTCTTCGGCTGGTGGACTCAAAGTGTCTTTGCTTGAAGAAGCCATAGTTAGGGAGAGTACGTGTTATCGCGTTTTCGTTGACGCAACACATGTGCTTATTTTCGACTAAATTAGTACTTGTCATACGACTAGTCCGAGTACCTACTTGTCCCTTATTTGTCACATACTGCTACAAAGAACAATAACGAAGTTCAATATATGCTTTATGTGTTTGAAGTAATCTTTGTTTATCGTCAAAAGAAAAAGGATTCAGAGGTAAATCAAACGGTTTTTGTCTAGACTTTTAACAAATCG